CGGACGATATCCGAACCAGTAAGCCCAAGCACAACTCGAAAACCATATCCCTGAACAACACAAAGTCAAGCATTTGAATATAGACAGGAGAAAACAAACGGCAGAAACCCTCATTATTTCATGTCGGCCGGTGTCAGAGCTTGGACCACACTGGTTCCCTCGCCGAACCTCGTCCGGAAGATACGGTTGGCATTCTGGAACATGCCGTCCTTCAGAGAGACAATAATGAACTGAGAGCCCTTGAAACGGGTCTTAATCAACCGACCAATGTTCTGCGTGTGAGACATATCCAGCGCGGCGTCAACTTCGTCCAAAATGTACATTGGCGCAGGCTTGAATTGCAGGAGTGCCATGATCAGTGAAAGGGCAATGAGCGATCTACAAGGGTTCGACATGTCAGCTTCGGCGACTACACGTCACAGATGTCAAAACTCACCGTTGACCACCAGACAGTTCCGTCAGACTCTGCTTCCACACCTTGCCTAGAGACACCTTGACCTCAAGACCATCGGTGATATCCTTGCCCTCGGGAGGGTCCAATTTAGCAAAACTGCCGGGCAGTAGCTCTGCAAAGATTTGACCAAAGTCACTGTTGACTTTGGTCCAGGTCTTGTGGAGAGCTTCCTTCATGTATTCGTTCAGGTTGATGATAGTTTCCTCGATCTTGCGCTTATCTCTGATCACAGTCTTCATCATATTCTTCAGAGCGGCCTCCTTCTTCTCCACGCTATCAATCATGTTCATGACCTTGGGGTTTATCTTCTTCTTCATGCCTTGGAATCGCTCGGTGACGTTTCGCAAGGTAGCCTTGCATTCCGCGATGTTCTGGCTCTTGAAGTCATAGGGGGTGTTGGGGCGGCCGAAGTTGTCCTTCTCATCTGCGATCCATTCATGCTCTTCCTCCATGTGCGCAACCGTTTGGGCAGCTGCCTGCTGGTCTTTCTGCAGCTTCTCAAGCTGGTGACCAAGCTTCTGCATTTCAAGACCCTCTTCGGTGATCCGGGAGTTCTTCGACTTGATTGCCTCCTCGAGTTCACGCAATTCCTCGTCGAAGCCGGTCAATTTGGCTCTCTCGTCCTCAAGTTGCGCTTGGGCAATGTCATGAGCGTCCTAAGGAACGGCATTAGCTTAACGCAGACGAGACATGAGTATTGTCTTCAAACCTTGACTCGGGCCTGTTCGCGCTTCATAGACTGGATCTCTTCCATCTGAGCTTTCAGCGTATTCTCAGCTTCGGCATACTGCTCCTCTGCCGCCGACAAATCGCTGCCAACTTGTTCAGATTCAAGCCTCGAGTTTTGAAGCTCTTTCTGTAGGGCCTTGACTGAATTCGAGTTCTTGGCAAGCTTCTTCTTGAGCGAATCCAGCGTAGTTTGCAATTCTGCCAGCTTGCTGTCCTTGTTGTTGTTGAACTCACTCATGTCTTTTTCGATCCGTTTGATGTCCCTCATAGCCTCGGCCTGACGAGCTTTTGCGTCAGAAATGTCCTTTTTCAGCTGCTCGATGTTCGCTTTCATTTCCTCGACAGCATGAATAATCTGCCCCAAAGTCAGAATAGGCCTAAAGTCAAATCCCAGTTGGACAACCTACCGACGAGGACGAGTTATTGCTTATTTGTTCCTCTGTCAGCTTGATTTCGTGACTCTTGAGGTCCAACTCCTGTTTGATAGCGCGGACAGTATCGAGCTTCTTTTTTTCCTTTCTCAAAGTGTCTTCTAAGGCTGCAAGACGCCGTTCCTTGCTCCTCATTTCCCGTGTAATCTCATTTAGCTTCTGCAGGGTGACAAGAACACCACTTGAATTGGGTGAGCTACCACCAGACAGTGTTCCGGATGGGTCATAGACGTCTCCCTCGAGAGTGACACTCTTGATTCGCACAGCCGGGTCGAATGTGACTCTCTTGGCGGTATCGGCGTCCTGGCATATCAAGGTATTGCCAAAGACGTAGTTCATCGCCGCAGTGACTTCCTCATCGTAACCGATTAAAGACAGAGCCAGGTCCACTTTGCCCGGCGCAATATTCTGCGCTGCCCCGATCTTCTCCGCAGAAGCTCTGAAAGAGGAGATCTTGTTGAGAGGAATGATAGTCACGCGCTTGCGCAGTTTGCCATTCTGAAGGAGCTGTGTACCAGTCTCCGCAGTGTCGACAACGACGTTGTAAAGACGGCCTCCGGCACAAATTTCCAGGGCAGTGGCGGCCTGAATTTTGTCCTTGTCCAGCGTGAAGAGCTGAGCAACCAAGCCCTTGACCTTGGATCGATCGAAATTGGGGTGAGGGTCTGTGTAAGTAAAGTCGACATTTGCCACTTTTCTCTTGAGTCCGTCGGCTCTCTCGCGCAAATCTCGAATGTCTCTTTGCAGTTCCGTCTGCTCTTGGTAGATCTGCTCTTCTTTTCCAGGCTCAAAGCCGAGTCTTGTGAGCTCTGCTTCCAGCTTCTTCGCTTGAGCTCTTAACCCTTCTAGTTCGTCGAGGAGTCCCGAATTTTGTTGTTTTGCCTTTTTGGCTCGAGGCTCCTCCTCTTTGATTCTCTTTTCCAGGTGAGCGATCTTAAGCTTGGCCTGCTCTTGTTCGGTCGCTGCTGCACTGGCGCGATTACGGGCATCCTGTAGCTGCCCTTGATACCCACTTTCTTGACCTTCCTTGGATGCAACGCCGGTCTGTAATGTCTGAAGCAGTTCCTCCTTTTGTTCGACTTCGGCTGTCTGGGCGTCGAATTCGGATTTTGCGGCATCATATTCAGCCTGTAGTTTGTTGTAGACCTCCCTCTTTTCCTTGAGAACTTTCTCGAGGTCCTTGACGGTCCTTTTGACTGTTTCTCGCTTCTCTTGCTCTTCTGAGACGCTGGCGTTCTTAAGGTCCAATTGCGTGCTCAGTCGGACCAGTTCGTGCGAATGCGACTTGACCTCGTTCTCTAGAGCCTGGAATTTGCCCCCCTTTCGCAATTCCTTGTCACGAGCAGCTCTGACCCGTTTCATATCCTCTTCCAAGTGAGAGATCTCGTTCTTGAGCTTGGCGGCGTTCTCCTCGAGCGCTTGCATTTTGCGTCCTTTGTTCTCGCATTCCTCGCCCGTCACTCGCAACCGCTCCCCGCTTCGAAGGTAATCGTGAGCAACCACCAGCCGGGTCAACCGCTCCAGATCGTTCTGTGTTTGCTGAAAATCAAGAAATGCTCGCTTTTCAGCTCTAAGTTTCTCCAACTTAGGCTCAATCTCCTCCTTCAATAAGCCTTCGATTTCCCGCAACTTTAACTCCTTCTTGGACATTGTTTTGACCGCCTTCTCCCGTCGATCTTCGAACATACGCGTACCAGCCGCTTCCTCAATCATTGACAAAATTTCCACGGGTTTCATATTCAAGACCTTCGTGATCCGACCCTGCATGATCAGGAAGTTTGGGTTGTTGATGTTCAATTGGACACTCTGGAAGAGGTTCTGTACTGTCTGCTGTTGAGCACGATGGCCGTTGATCAGGTATTTACTGGTGCCTCCGAGGACGATTTGGCGAGTAACAGAAATGGTCGCATACTCTTCGAATCCGATGGGCGATTTGGCGGTATCCCGGTTATCGAAGACGATAGTCACGCTAGCCTTGGTGACACCAGCCTGGCCTCGCTTGTAAATGAGATCCTGAAGGTTTTGCGCACGAACGGTCGACATATTCGTAATTCCCAGTACGAAACAGATAGCATCCAAGATATTCGATTTACCACTGCCGTTCAGCCCAGTGATGGAGTTGAATGATTCGTCCCTGCGCATAATGGTCAGCTCGCTTCCCGCGGTTGTGGCACAAAATGATAAATATTCAAAAATAGCCATAGCCGACAGCCTGCAAACTATAGAGCCTTCATAAAAGGAGCGCATACCATCCTGAGATAACTGTACGCACAGCGTACGATTTGAAGCCCTATCAGCAACGAAGTCAGCCATCAACGACTCGATTGACTCTTTCGATCTTGACAGTAAAAACTCACATCAATGACAATCTCTGTGACCCTCATGATTGCGACTTCGATCCAGCCCCAAGAACCTAGCTTCTAAGCGCATGGGATGGTGATAGCGAAGGACAGTTTACGACCAAGCAGTTGTTGATTTGAGCAAACGTTGACGACCCGATTGTTTTCGCGCCGGCGGTGTTTGGCCGACCGTAGCCATGTTTATGGTTTGCTAATATAGGGATAGCGTGGATTATTTTGATGATGTAAGCTTGGGAGGGGTCTATTGGATCACATGATCAGGCTGGTAATACCAGCTCATAATATTGTTGTTCCCAATGAGTACTCAAAAATGATCAGAAGGTGTACAAGTCAAAATGATCGAAAAGACGTTGCTGACTGTTTCGCGTTCAGCGTCGTAGCCAGCGTCTTAAGTGTGATATTTCTACAGTTCTAGTCTTAATCATCCACCCCACGATCAGCTTTAAGGGCACTCGATGGTATATCTTCTTATACCGTTTTGAACTATGTGTTGTCACACCCAGAGTCAGCCCTTCATTATTTAATGCTATTGCTGCTATGTACTCCTAGTAAGATAGCAACTATTTGATCCATTTCTCAGAGACCAGAGCGGGTTTCAAAATATCTCCTAGAGGAAGGAATGGCGGTTTATTTTCATTTTTCTATGTCTCCTGACTAGCGATCCCAGCATGCGGTTTTACCAAAGGTTCTTTCCAACGTAGTAAGGGAGAATAACCTTACATACGCCACCAATGCAACCCAAATGATCAATAGATTCTTACTGGTTAGCCTTAGGAGTCAGGTTACCGGTTATGCGCACGAATGCCCTGTTTCCACCTCCCGGGGTTCTCACGGAGAGATTTCGGACACTTTTGAACCCTCATGTTTGTCCTTGGCGCATCTGCTGATGAGTAGATTATATGATCATGAAGGGGTATAAAGTCTCCAGAATGTCTGAAAGAAAATGTCTCTTCTCGCCAGATCAACTGCTGTTGTCTTTGTAACTCTTTGTCGTATCTCTTATACTCGCTCTTCAACTTCACCAAAATGGCCAAGATAGACTACCTCCAGAATATGTTCAAGGCCAAGGAGTTTACTGACCGGTACAAGTACACCGAAAAGCTCACTGGGCTATACGCTGAGACCTTGGTTGAGTACTCTGGCGTGGCTAATCCCTACCAGAAGCAGCTGGTTGTCCTGGACAATGCCTGCGGAATTGGAGCTGTCTCCAGCGTACTCAACCGCACACTTAATGATGAAGCAAAGAGAACATGGAAATTGACCTGCGGTGATCTGTCAGAAGGCATGTTGGAATACACCAAGCAGAGGCTTGAAGATGAAGGATGGGTCAATGCTGAAACGAAGATCGTGAATGCGCTAGACACTGGGCTGCCAGATGCGCATTATACGCATGTTTTTGTCTCTTTTGGTATGCCTTCATAAGTAACCATTCAGATTCAATGTTATGAGGGGATGCTGACAGTCGCGATCTTCAACTAGGCTTCCAGAGCTTCCCAGACGCCATCGCCGCCTTGAAAGGTAATTGACCTCCTGCCAGGCATACAGAGAACATGTCTAATAATGATGCTAGAGTGTTTCAGGATCCTCGCATCCGGAGGTATACTGGCAACCTCAACATGGCAGAGATGTATGTGACATCGAGTACATTCACCCTCGAAAGCAAACACTGACTATAAGTGCACCGAACAGTCACCTGGATACCGATCATGAAAGCCGCCATTGAGACCATGCCCGGAAAGCTCCCATTCCCAACACAGGAAGAGTTCCTCGCGCTTCACAGTACCGGTTGGGACTCGGAATCCTACATCCAGTCTGAATTGGAGAAGGTAGGATTCAGGGACGTCAAAGTCACCGCTGTGCCGAAAGAGACGTCCCTGCCTATCAGTGAATTCCTCGAAGTCTGCATGATGATAATCCCTTATCTGCTTCCAAAGTTCTGGACTGAGGAACAGCGGGAGTTGCACGAGAAGGATGTTCCAATGGTGCTGCGGCAATATCTGCAAGACAACTATGGGGCGAGTGGACAGGTTCCTCTGGAGGCGGTGGCTCTCATCACAACGGCCCTCAAGACTTAGTACAAAGGATCCGAGATGACTAGGGATCCACATGTATGTGGTATCGGGTCTGGCATCTGCGATTAAGTGGCTATAATAAGGAGCAAGACCCGGATTTTTATGGTTGAAGGCATCACATCATAGATTCGAATGTCTACACTGACAAAATTACCATGAAAAGAGATCAATGTCAGATATCCCAAGTTCCCATAGAAGCCACAAAAGGCCGGAAAACACCTGACTGCTCGGGAGTAGAACACCGGCTACAACACCTGAACCGCATCAGAGAAATTTGGTAGTCAACCCAACGCCGTTGCTTATACAACCATAAACTGTGCTTCCACCAGAAATCATGAAGCTTGATGAGGAAATCCAAGAGGGCGCGCAAGACCCCTGTTGTGATCCAGTCTGTTGTCCAGGTCCTCGTAGCGAAGAATAAACTCACGCTGTTGATACCATGTGGTCAGCATTCCAGGATGGATTCGAAACCGGGCCATAAATACGTACCCGAATCTTCTTCCAGGTAGTGGGATCCCAAATCAGATAAACGCCACGTTCGCTGACGCGAGGTTCGACATCCACAGGACCGGGATACGTCTCGTCACGTGTAAGCCAGCATCTTTCAATCTTATGATATCTCCACTTGCGGCCCATCAGCTCCTCTGCAGCTAGCTCTTGCATAATGTCGCGAGGCATGCTGTAGAAGATGTAAAACAATGTCTCATCGCTGAAGCTGGGTATACGGGTCTGTAGAGGCTGGATATTTGCAACACTGTAACATGCGGGCAAGGAAAAGTTTTGTTCCATAGGAACGGCCGACATGGATGCGACGAAAGGGGACGCAAAAGAGGTGTGAAGGGGCCTTCGAACCACGGATGTTAGTAAAGCAAAGGAAAAACATCTGTGCCATAACAGCGACAACGTACTCAGGCTGATTCAAATCCAAACCGAGAGTCATCAGATCTTGACCCACTGCAAGACTCGCGACATCGGGGCTGTCACTGTGGATCATCCGGAGCAGGCCTGCGAGTCCGAACCTGTCGAGCTCGCTCATCTGAGCAAGCGGTGGCTGCTCAGTGCTCTGCGCAGCCGCAGCGACGTCTTGTGCTTCGCCAGCCGCAGCCTGCGGTTGCTGCGCCTGCTGTTGCTCTGTGAAATTACGCTGATTCGCCATCGTAGTAACGTTCGAGTCCTGCATACCGAATTTAGCAAGGGAATATGAATGCGAGCTGCAGACACCCCTAACCTCTTTTTCCGGTCCAGGAACTCCATTTGCTCCTTGGTTAACGGGCGAGCGTGAGGTTCCGATGGCTGAGAAAGCGATCAGCACCCTGTTCGCCGTCGAGAAAAATTAATAAACATACCTGCCGACACCGCATTTGTAGGCGATATCATTCTCGAAGTATCCTGTCCATTGATCGACCCTCCAATCATGTTGCGATTTTGAGCAGACTGGTTCTGGTTTGCGCCAGTGAAAGGCATTGAGCCGCCAAAATTACCGAGTCCAGCACTTTGCATCAGAGATTCTCTGCGATCTTGGACGAGATCCGCAGCGACATTACGTCCGAGAGGGGGGAACTCGTCAATGTTGCCTGTCTGTGGCTGCCCAGAGCCTCCTAATTGACCACTGATACCCTGTCCACCATTTCGAAAGTCGTCTAAACGATTTGCGAATTGAGCACCAGAGGGAAATACATCTTCGTGTGATGGCTGTGATTGTTGTTGCGGGTGATGCGACTGTGTCTGAGGGGCGCGTGAAGGTGCTTGGGATGTCGGGTGCTGCTGCCGCTGCGGAGTCTGCTGCAAGGCACGCTGACCCCACACTAGCCCTGGGTTTGGAGTCTGAGATTGCTGAGGCGCTCCTGATAGCGAAGGAAAGTCTCTGCGTGGACAAAGGTTAGTGGTAGGAATCAAACGGGAAAAGAGTTGGGCTGGCAATTTGACAAACACTCAAGCCTCTCTCGAAGGGGAGAAAGTGTCAAACATACGATAGATCAAGAGGCGTAGCAGGCTGAGATCCCCCACCAAGACTTTGTGCAAATGTCCCCATAGCTCCAACGTTGCGCTGCTGATTTCCTTGTAATCCTGGTGTCCCGCTAACAGGTAAGTTGAAATTCCAGTTGGCGCCGCTCCCTGCCAACACTCCTGATCAGCAATGATTCATGCCATACAGCTTCGGGATATAGCAGTAATGGATTCGCACCGAGTTTTCCGTTAGGCAAGCGCGCCGAGGCTAGTGTCGCGTTTCGAGCCTGTGCTTGTTGCTGTGCGGGGAAGCCAGACATGCCTCTCAAAGGCTGTGGGCCGGGTCCTGAAGAGCAGTAATGGTTGATTAGCGCAAACGTAACAAAACAGTGGATCGAAAGCAACGGCGCGATCTCTAGTAGACAGGCCCAGAGGGCTAGCCAGATGGCTCGTCCGTCCATGGCGCTCAAAGTCTTGAATATAATCGAAAGGACGTAGTGTGGGAAGACGACAATTGGATCATGAAAATCACTGAGGAATTCTCCTCTTCACCAAGCACCGTGGGTCTACATCTCAGACGCCGAGAAACTGATACATGAAAGGAATTCATTGCACAAAGTGACCAGTCGGTGTTGCTATAGCGGAGCAAGACCACAAATAGCAGAAACTCTTGAGAGAAAGAATTGAACGCAGACGTACCTGGCCTGTTCATAATAGTGCCTGACCCTCAAGGAGCAATCTGTGTAGTAAAACGTGTGGAAGGCGAAAAGGAGCAAGGGATCATGAAAGTTTAGAGAGTAGTTAAACAACAGTGTTGCTTCACCTCAGTCCTCATGCGGCGACTACTTCTCTGTTACTGGAAGGTGGAGTGGCTATAAACGCGCGCTTCTTGTGAAGGGAACGCACGGACCATTAGGATTAACCGCCTAATTATCTCAGTGTAGAGAGGTTTTTCAGCAAGACTTTGATAACCAAAAAAGGCGGTGTATAGACTTGTTAGTTTACTGAAATTTTATATGATAGCTAAGAGAGTGATACACTAACTATCCTATGAGAAGACCCCAGGTCCTCTCTTTTCTTGCTGGAAGCAATGGCGATATACGAGAAATGGTTGGTGCTCCGTGGCCATCAACTCCAATCGACATCAGCCAAAACTTCAAGAAGGCTACCGCAAGATGAAATTCATGCTAGATACAATAGTAATCAAGGTTCATTCCCTGTATGCTTAAGGCACTAGATACTGTTGTACAGATTGTAGCACATTCCTCGCTGTCAACGGGATGGCGGCTAATACACGTGACCCTTTCGCGGAGGTCCACTCCTGCCTTGAATTCCACGCCGCAAAAAGCTCGTCTTACGGGTCTTCCCTCAAGGAGTGACTGCCAGCCAACTTCGGTCAATATGCATCGCCAGTCGGTTGCACGGCTTACCCGCCAGTGCCAAGGTCTTCCGCTGGTCGAGCTGCCCCCTCCCTACCTCGCACCGTCTCTCCATTTTTCCTTGATCCGGTCCCCGGTCCAGTGCTCGTCCTTTTCCTCAACCGCCGTTGTCGCTGGCCGTGGGCGTGACTTGAACAAGACCCGCGGCGTCTCAGCTATTCACCGTACCGGCCCCAGATTCAAGTTGGGCGTGTCAAAGTACCCATTACCGAAGCCTGTATCCCCCGCGGCAATCGAGAAGCGTGAAGCGACCCCGGATCACGGACTCTGGGGGTTCTTCCCCAGAGATAGGTCGGCATTGAGCACACCGGAATATGATATTGCTTACGGTCCGTATTCACCCACCTGGTTTTCACCTTTATTCCTCGTCGACACAGATTTTGCTGATTGTGGCTCACCAATTAGGCCGTTCCTGGTCCATCCAAGAACTTCGGGAGAAGTCGTGGGAAGACCTTCACTGCCTCTGGTGGGTCTGTGTCAAGGAGCGTAATCGCATAGCTACGTCCAATTTCGAGAGACAGCGTTTGAAGGCGGGTTACGGAGAATGGGAAGCTAGTGAAAGAGACAGAACCGTGAGTTTCTCATACCTTTCCCAGTCCAGACATTCAAATTTTTTAACTTCCCCGCCAATGGATCTAACGGATACTCAATGACCTGGATCCGTCGGTACTGGTGCGCTAAATGTTATTCTTCGGACCACTTCTCACTAATCTCTCTTCCTGACGATAGATCCGCGTTACACAAAATGGCATCAAGCATGTTCTGCGCGAGAGGTGGTACGCTTGGGAAGATGCGAAGCGACTTTACAAGAACGGATATCGCCCACAAGACGAGGATAATCAGGAGTAGGTATTGACAACTGGCAGCTGCTCATGCAATGACTTCCTGTTGTATGGACATGGTTTGCACATGAGGGATATCTCACATGTACTATATTGTAGAGTTGTACTGTTTTCTTATACATGGGTCTTTGTTTATCCCTTGAGTTGCGAAAGGGTCGTCGTATATTTTGTCCAGCCATCAACTAGTAGGCATCCAAGCACGTTTTTGTACTCGCCATCTATCTGATTAAACGGACTTTTGCGTTAGCACGGTGCCAATATCCGTAGCGCCAATAGTTTGGGCCACTGGGCGTCAGTAGGTTATTTCAAGCTGTTATGGCCTAAGATTTGGGTGCCATTGAAAAGGGGGATAGTCAGGACCCAGGAGGTCAGTATTTTAAGCGGTTTGATCAATTATCAATTCATTTTCGATCATCGTGGGTCTCATATTCCAAGCTCCTTCAATATGAAGACAGCGAGCGGCGTACTTATCCTCACCCCCTTGTGGGCCCAATCCCATCTGCTGGTCCTTGGGTGATGATCCGCGGGGGGCTTTCACCAGACTAGCTCTTCGACCACCACGACTAAACTATCTGCTAACTACAAGCTCACCGCAACATTCAGTGTCTCCATATCCTTCCTCTCTCCAAATTTATCTTCTCTCAATCTCACGCGACTTCCGCTCCTCCTTGCTTATTTTATTGTTAGTGTTTTGCGCCCGTTCCGACCATTCATCATGGAAGAGATCGCCCCCGAGTATGATGTTGTAGTGCTCGGCACTGGTATGTATTACCCC